TCTGAAGGGACAATGGTATCTCCTGAAGCCAACTCCAGTCCAGATCATTCTCCAAAATGCCAGCCCAACTGCTCATCCCTCCCCTCAGAGTCTACATGTCCAAAACTCACTGTCTCATTCTACAGTTCCCGGAACGGTTTCTCTTTCCGGCACATGCTGTCTCCATTAGTGGCACCACTTATCTCCTGCCCTGCACTTATGTGTACAAGATCCAGCGTGGAGGACTCTGCAGTCTCCCTCTCCAGGCTTCTGCCCCTCACCTTCCTAACACCACACTCGAGGAAGAGGTGATGCTAAACTGCTTAGTCGAGGCCTGAGACACTGAGGAGACCACATTTGACTGGCATGTAAGGTTACTAGATTCTACAAGTCAGTGCTCTGAATGACTTTTTCTGTTGCTCCCAATTCTAGGCAACAAAGTAAGGTCTACCTCTTGAGGTATCACCCTCTTCCTCTTCTCTTCTGGGGTCAATGCTGCTACTATGTAATCTCAGGTAGTTACTGAATGTATCTGTGCCTTTGTTTCTTTATCTGTAAAATGGGAATGATGATAACAAGAGTGTATGTTTCCTTTAGCAGTTGTGACAATTAAATGAATTTCTATGTGTCAAGTGCTAAGAACAGTATCTAGCCCAGGGGTCCTCAAAACTTTTTAAACAGTTCGCTGTCCCTCAAACCATTGGAGGGCCAGACTGCGGCCCCGGGATGAGTCGGCTGCTCAGCAGGACCGGCAGCAGCGGCAAAAACACCCGGCGGGCTGGATAAATGTCCTAGGTGGGCCGCATGTGACCCGCAGGCTACAGTTTGAGGACGCCTGATAGCCCATAGTAAGCAGCAGTAAGTATCAAGTTGAGTTGTAGGGGGCCCCTATTCTTCTATTTTCCATGGTAAGTCCTCCTATTAGGGCCATCTGGCCTCCTCTCTTTCCTGTCTGTTTGAGGTAAGCTGATCTAGGCAGACTGGTCCAAGTCGATCTCCATTCTCTCTTCCTCTCTTCTCTTCCAATACACATTACTGCCCTTGAGACACAGTGAAGACAGGCCATCCTGGACAGGAAGGAACTTTAGCCCACATGGCTCAAGCTTCATTCCACGAGTCCTGTTTACCAGGAAGTGCTTTATTGCACATAACCGGGTACCTGTTCAGTTACTGATAAAGTGGCACTTTGTTTATCCATCCCATTCTTGCTCCCGATGTGTCCAGAAACCACGGCTATGAATCTAGGAGGAGCTTAGATTCAAGCTGAAGAGTCCTAAGAACCACTTAGTCATCCTTGATCTCACACCTGCCTGCAACATGGATAACACCAGTGATAAACGTTCCTGATCTACTCCTTCAGTCTCTCTCCTCCTCTCCTTTACCACTACCTTATTTCAGGTTTTTCACCTCTTACCTGGACCATTGCCTCAGGCTCCAAAATGGTCTGCCTAAAATCTCTTCCGCCTTCCAAGCCACCTTTAACATTAGCGGCCAGGGTCATCTTTCTAACTCATCATATTTCTGGCTCCACACTTTTCAGTGGTTTGTCAGTGCCTATAATAGTGGGTCTCAACTTTGGCTGAACATCGGAATGGCAGGAATCATACTGGAATCACTGATTGGGGCCAAGAAATGAGTTTTTGAAAAAAAAAAATCAGCTGATTCTAACGTATAGCTAGGGTTACCATTTGCTCACTACCTTAATGACAAATAGAAATTTAGAAGTGTTATACTACGTGCAATGTTTTAGACCAAATAAGTATATTCCCAGCAATTTCAAAATATTGATAAAAGTTCAAACATAGAAGAAGATAGCTCTCAAGAAGGCTAATAGCAATCGACTTTGAAAAACACTAAATTTTAGACAATTCAAGCATTAGAAAAACTTTGAAACTAAGGGAAGAAATAAAAGACAAGTAAAAATGCTGACGGAGAGATGAACATGTATAAACAAAGATTTAATGGTAAAGATAAGTGAAAGATGACAAGAGCTTAAAATATTTAAGAGCTGGAGCACCGGCTTGGCACCTGTGGTTCGGGTGGCTAAGGCGCCAGCCACATACACCTAAGGTGGTGGGTTCGAATCCAGCCTGGGCCCGCCAAAGAACAATGATGGCTGCAACCAAAAAATAGCCGGGCATTGTGGCGGGCGCCTGTGGTCCCAGCTACGTGGGAGGCTGAGGCAGGAGACTCCCTTGAACCCAGGAGTTGGAGGTTGCTATGAGCTGTGATGCCAGGACATTCTACCCAGGGGGACAGCTTGAGGCTCTGTCTCCCCCCCAAAAAAAAAAGAGCTGGAGTATCAGTGTCACAGAATGACCTATAGGTAAAACAGAGAATAAAGATAGGTTTAAATATCAGGCTACAACATAGCTGAGAAATAATCTGTAACAGGAACAGAAAGCTGGGCCACTGGTTCCACTAGTATATCTTAGCAACTTATTTCCAGAAATGTGTGTGTGTATACACACACACACACACACACACATATATATATTTTTTGCAGTTTTTGGCCGGGGCTGGGTTTGAACCTGCCACCTCCAGCATATGGGGCCAGTGCTCTACTCCTTTGAGCCACAGGTGCTGCGCCAAAAGTATATTTTTAGACAAGCTAATGTTTAACCTAACTATACCTTGTCTATAAGCTGGGGATGAAACCTATCTTATAGGGCAAATTAGAGAGATAAATACATACCTGAAAGTATTGAACATAGATTAATGCCTTAAAAAATGTTTGATGAATGTTTCTTTTAAAAGTACTGCAAACTAAAATTCAAAGGAAGTGGGGGGCTGAGGAGACTTCTAAAAACCATGTAAAATAAATACTCAAAAGCCAAAAACCTTTGAACCTATATTGTGCCAATAAGTTGGAGAAGAGAAATCTTTGAGATTTCTTGAGATTCCAAATAGCAAAACTTGACTGACATTACCATAATTCCATGAAGGTAACCTATTAAAAGAATCATTTCAAAACAAATAACACTATGCCTGCATTTAAAAGTGCACACAGTGGGTCTTAATTACCATCATGCTGAAATCAACATTATATTAATTACCATTGCATTAAAACATTTCAGTAAACAAGTAAGTCCTTAGTCTCAAGTCACTCCCAAATCATCCTATTAACATTAATGATTGCATTTTCCTGAGCTATTTGAGCACAGAAAATCAAAAGCACTTTGGGTAGCATCGGATATGTGTTTGTAAACATAATTCTGAAAGGTCAGTTGCTATTGTCCTGGGGTTATTCAGGGAGTGGGGAAAAGCTGTGGACATATTCAATTATCAAAAATTTTTTCTATACTCTGCATGAATGTTCTTCCATGCTGCATTTCAGTTGCCATTAAATTAAACTAACTAAACTCTTGAAAAATATAAGTCCTACATTAGGAAACTGGTATTTCTGACCTTTCCTAAAAATCCTAATTTGGGTGAAATTATACTTTGATCTCTGGCTGAGTGCAATGGCTCATGTCTATAATCCCAGTACTAAGAGAGACCACGGTGGGAGAATTGCCCAAGGCCAGGAGCTCAAGACCAGTTTGGGCAATACAGTGAGACCTGTCTCTACAAAAATTTTTTTTAAAAATTAGCCAGGCGTAGTGGCCTGAGCCCTACCTACTCAGGAGGCAGGAGGATCACTTGAGTCCAGGAGTTCAAGGTTACAGTACATTATGACAGTGCCACTACAATCTGGCCCCAGGAACAAAGCAAGACCTTATCTCTAAAAACCAAACAAAATCTCCCTTATTTGATTGTATTTCTTGTATTTCACTAAAATGTCCTGCTTTCTTTTCCTTTGTTCAGGTGCAGGACTGGTACCCACATTTGTGCCTATTAAGTCAAGATTAAGGCTTTTCTGTGACTCACAAACAGCACTGGCAAGGCAGGTAGTTACAGAGAGACACAGAGTGACTTTCCTAAAGAGCCCCTCTATAAAAGATGTGAGAGGAAGGAGGTTAAAAACACTCACATGGTAAGCAAAAGGCTGCTGCCTGGAGTAGCATAATTGCATTTTGAGTCGTCAAAGACTAAGAAAGAGAGAAGATACTGTGTCTGACCAGTTTCCACAAGGAAGAGGGAAGTGGGTGGCAGAAAACAGCACTGGCCTGGAAGTGAAGAGACCCGGGCCCTGCTCCCAGCTCTGCCATTAACTAGCAATAGCAATGTGGCCTTGGGATGGTCATTTCCATCTATGGGCTTGATATTTTTAATCTGCAAAATGAAGGTGATGGACCAGATGAAGATTTCCAAGTCCTTTCTAGCTCTAAATATCAATCAACTCTAACATAGCAGTTTTGTATTTTTTTCGGGCCCAGCACACTGGCAGTGACTCTGAATCACTGAAGTCTGTGTCAGAAATGGGTATGCATTTGAATAAGTACACCCTTGTCACCTTGCAACAAGGTCTCTGGGTCTTCCCTACTCCATGCCCACCAGTTGTTTTGATCTCTAATCAAAAACTGCCACTCATTACAATAAACACAGCAGCCTACAGGGGCTTGGTGTGGGCAGGAGGAGGCAGGAACGGTGAACCACCAGCCTCCCACCTAAGGACTAAGGAATGAATACCAAATCCTGAAAGGAGAACTGATGGCCCTGAAAATAACCCCCAGGTTTGTGTGACGGGGTGAATACTCAGGGCTCCTGACTCCACAGCCACTGTTCTGCTCACCACCCATAAAGATCACTGTTCACAGAGATGTACATCAAATGATCTGCTTTCTGAAATGATTTAGGGAATGAGATGGAAGGCTCAGTTGCTCCTTAATTTTGATCTCAGTTTTTAAGTAGGGGGGAAAAAAGAATCGAGAGGTATACCAAATACCACCAAATTGTCCAAGGCAAAAATTACCTGCCACCATAGTATCAGGTCCTCTAACTACAAGCAACACAAGAGGGGTAAAATTCACAAACACATACAAAGAAAAAGACAAAACGAACTTCCCTGTCAACCCGCCTCCCCATCATTCCCTGGGACCCCGAGTTCAGGGTCAGATCATCTGGGAGAGCCTCCTTACCATCCCAACGCAGAAGAGGATGAAGAGCAGCAGCCAGGGAATGTCCGTGCAGCTGCGGTCCTCCAGAGGCTTCCATTCTCGTTTGGAGCTCTAATGAAAAATACAAAGCAAGAGTGGTAAATGTTAAGTCTCACTGAAATTAGAAAGGCACAAACACCCTTCCTTTTATCTAGATCCATTCCTCGCCAGACAAGTTTCTACTGAACCACTAAGACAGCGTTCAAATATCTCTCACCTCTTGGTGATGATGTTACCCCAACTCCCTCAGCCAATACTCCTAACCCTTTTCCTGGCCAAGTAGCAGGGCACTGAGCTCATTACCTTTTTGGTACCTCTATTAAGAGTGCTTAGCATTATTTCTTACACTGAGTCCCAAACAGATTGTAAGCTTCAGAAGGGAAGAAACCAGTCTCACTTCCCAGCATGATGACAGAAGGCTCATGATATGTCCTCAGCAAGTGCTTTTAAGAAATGAATAAATAGGCAGTGCCCATAGCACAGTGATTATGGCGTCAAACACATGCACCAAGTATCAGTGACAACTGCAACAAAAAAATAGCCAGGCATTGTGGTGGGCACCTGTAGTCCCAGTTACTTGGGAGGCTGAGGCAAGAGAATCACTTAAGCCCCAAAGAGTTTGAGGCTGCTGTGAGCTGTGACGCCACAGCACTCTATTGAGGGCAACATAGTGAGACTCTGTCTCAAAAAAAAAAGAAAGAAATGAATAAAAAGCCAAAGGCAATGGCTCACACCTGTAATTCTAGCACTTGGGAGGCCAAGGTGGGAGGAACACTTGAGCCGAAGAATATTTTTTGAGGCAGAATCTCACTATGTCACTCTCGGTAGGGTGCCATGGCATCATAGTTCAGAGCAACTTCAAACTCTTGGGCTTAAGCAATTCTCCTGCCTCAGCCTCCCAAGTAGCTGGGACTAGCTGGCACCTGCCACAACACCCAGCTATTTTCTTATTATTGTTGTCATTGTTGTCTAGCAGGCCCTGGCTGGGTTAGAATCCACCAGCCCCGGTGCATGTGGCCGGTATCCTAACCGCTGAGCTATGGGCACCAAGCTGAGCCCAGGAATTTTAAGACTAGTCTGGCAATAGCAAAATCCTATCTCTATAAAAAATGAAAAGTTAGCCAGGCGTGGTGGTACACACCTGCAGTCCCAGCTACTCAGGAGGCTGAGGCAGGAGTGAACTATGATAACGCCACTGCACTCTAGCCCAGATGACAGAGCAAGATCTTGTCTCAAAAAATAAATAAATAAATAAACAAACTCTTCCAACTTCAATCTGAGTGCTAGCTTTTTCTTTGTATGTTCAGACGCTAGACTTAAAAAAAAAAATCAGAACATGATCTATATGTGTACGTTCTCTTCTCGGAAGGGTGCCCATCAAAATGAATTTCTATTCAAAGGTAGGTTCTTTTAAGTCAGATAAAAGTCTGAAATAAAAAAGTCAGTTTTTATAGACAGATTTGAGCAACTCTTAAGCAATCCATGAATCCACAGATTTTCATTCTGCTCCTGGAAAATGTTAAATTGTTTCTGGATCAAACACAGAAATCCCCTAACTAAAGAATGAGAGGTATTCTAAAACTTAATTGGCAAAGTATTGATTAGAACGCCAATTGCATTTTTTTGTTACTTCAATCATCTTAGGTTTTCAGGTCAGCTCACAAATCTCTTTTAATCAAAATGTAACTGAAATAACACTCCTGACCTTTCTAATGAACAAAAATCCCCGAGTCTCACGGCATCGCCTGGAAATGGTAAACAGACAGGAAGGAGAAGGCAGCCCTGGGAAACCTCTGGGAAAGGTTTCTGCAACAAGGAGGTTGAGGCCTCCAGTGGCTTACATGGCAAGATCCAGGGAGCTATCTGGAGAGGCCTGTCAGTGGGAAAGGGCACCAGCAGGAAAGGCCGGAGATAAGGGAGTCCCTGATATAATTAGCATTTAGAGTGCAATCAGGCTTAGCTCACCCTTCCTCTAAAACTGAGCATCCTTTCACAACCTGATAAGAGCTATAAATTCTTTTCTTGGAATGTAAGCATATATTTACATAATTTTCATGAAAGTTTGGGGAATTCCAAAGGTTAAGAAACTCAATTTTAAAATATCTGCCTGTCAACAATGAGGGCAGAGAATTTGAGCTAACCCCTAAAGTGTTAAGCAGACAAATACCTTAGTACCAAAAAAAAAAGAAAGAAAGAAAGAAAAGAAAGAGAGAAAGAAAGAAGGAAAGAAAAAAAAGAAAAAGAAACCCTGCTTGTTCCCAGACACCCACACAAAAAAACAAAAGAGCACTAGTTAGTCATGGGGAAAAAAAAAAAGACCTCACCCCAAGACTCTAACTAGCATCAAAACCCAAGAATGAGCAGGCAGTTTTTCCAGAGGAATGCAGCACTGTGGCATAACAGATGAAGGATTCTTCCTGGGTGTGTCATTAGCCAGCTGCATGACTTGAGATAAATCCCTTCATCTTTCCAGGTGGGAGAAAGGAGTTCATTTGGATCACTTAGGTTCCTTCTAACCGTAAAAAAATCTATAATCAGGAACATGCTTTTGTAAAAACTTGTGTTATGATTATGATTGGAAAAAACTGCAAAATAATTCCACATTATTCCCTGCACTATTCAAGCAAGAATGCCTGTATTGTGTGGTCTGTATTTCGGAAGACAGTTGCTCACAGTGTGAATAAAGAATGTTCCTTTGTATTAAATAATTTCAATCTTGAGTAATACCCATTACAGAAAAAACTGCTTCTAAACACAGAATTTGAACATCTCCTTCAAATTCATTATTTTTACTCTATGGTAATTTATAAAGCAAAAGCTACTTTAAAATACTATATTTGTTTATCTTCAACAGCACGTATGGGAAGGGAAGGAAGTGGGGAGCCTCAAGTTGACTGAGTAGTTTTGTTATCCCCAACAATTTGCCCAGTATTTTTAACGTAGACCGATATTCAGTTTGTTAATGCTTAAATTTTTCTCTATAACATAGAGGAAGAGGGATTTCACTGTTGACCAGACAACACAAAGATTCAATATGGCGACAGCGCAATTCAACTTGCTGTGGGCCACTTTTGTGTCACATACAGAAAATCTCTCACTGGGGTGAGAAGTGGGGAGGAGTTAGGAGTTACATATAAAAAATAGTGATAAAATCCAAAGTACAGCAGAAGAGCCAAAGGACAGGTGTTCACCCTCACTTGGACAAAAGGAGGCTTCCTGGAAGGGGTGGGTTACTGTGCCATACAGGGCTGTTCGGAGGTGTACATGTTTATTATTACTAGTCATCATACGTTCCAGTTAAACCTCTCCCTATTGATAAAATCTCCTTTTACCAGGTGGACCTGTCCACTAAAGGGATAAAAAGAATACTAAACGCTCCCTTTCCCATACACTTACTAAAATTTTGCCTTAATGGTAGTGTATTTCATTTCAGCTATCGTTTTCAATGCTATCAGCTGTTGATTCCTTTTAACCAGACACGAGACCCACATGCACGCGTTATGTCTTCTACCTTCAAAACAGCTCTCTGATGTGTCAACCCTATTTCACAGATGAGGAAACTCAGGCTCAGAAGTTAAAATAATCAGCCAAAGGTTTCACAGTGGTGCAACCAGGATTTAAACCCAAGTCAGTGATTCCAAAGCCAATGCCCACAAGACTGTCATCCATTTGCACCAGTCAGTAGGAGCAACCCTCTCCATCAGTTTTTCCTGGTACTGCAAAATGTGGGAGCCAACCCGGAAATTTCAAATCCTATAGGTACAGAGAAAGCAAGTGAGACATGTAACCAGCCACGAAAATTTTCAAGGGAGTCAGGAAATGCAACATTTAAAAAATTCGGATTTTTTAATAAATTTAACCAAGTGGCAACTGGATTTAATGTTGTCAGTTTCTTCCAATCAACTTTCCACACAGACATAGCAAAAGCAAAATGTTTTGCAAAAACACTTTTTAGATGTGATTTCATCCCTTTCCCGAATATGACGTAAGACTAACAGCAGGCTGTCAAGAGACGTTGGGTCTTTCCCCTTCACAGTGTCTTACAGTTTAGGAACTAGATAGGATGATCAAAGTACTCAGAAAGTTCAAACCTTTAATGAGAGTGATTAAGACCCAGAAAAGGAGGAACTTGCCCAATGGTGCACATTTATCTGATCCCTGACTTTATTTGATTCTCAAAACAATCCTGCCAGTTATTATTACATATGCCTGACCCTTCTATTTTACAAAAGGGGAAACCAAGATTCATATAAAGTAAGTGGACAATCTATGTCTGAAACCTGAGTCCTCAACTCTAACAGAGAGACAGAAACTACAAGACAGTGGTAAGGAAATGCTAAGACACGAAACAAATATGGAGCAGAGATGAAGAAGGCTTGTGTCAAGTACATGGGTACACTAAACACAGGCAAGGGAAAAAATCAGTAAACTCCAAGACAGGTCTACAGAAACTACTCAAACTGAAACACAAAGAAAAACGTGAAAAATTTAAAACCTGAGCAAAAGGTCCAAGAACTGTAGGACAATATCAAACGACCAGACACATGTGTGATTAGAATCCAAGAAGATAAAATAGAGCAGAGGAAATAAGTGAAGAAATACTGGCTCAAATTTTTCTAAAAAGAATAAAAGAAATTATAGCACAGATCCAAGAAATTCAAAAAATTTCAAGTAGGACAAATAAAACACATACACATGTTCCTACATGTATTATATTCAAACTGTTGAAAACCAAAAGTAAAAAGATCATCTCAAAGATAGCTGCAAGGGTTAAAAAAAGACGCATTATATACAGAACAAAGACTTCAGTAGACTTCTTGTTAGAAACTATGCAAAGCGGAAAACCATGAAATGACATCTTCAGACTACTGAAAGGAAAACAAAAAACAAATTACTGACCCAGAATTCTACACCCAGGGAAAATATCTCCCAGAAATGAAGACTTTTCAGACCAAAAAAAAACTTAAGAGACTCTATCAGCAACAGATCTGATGTGAACTACAAGAAATGTGAAAGAAAGTTATTCAGACACAAAGAATGTGATACCAAATTTGGACAAAAAACCCCAAAAAGGTGTAGGCTCTGTGCCCATAGCATAGTGGTTACGGTGCCAGGCACATACACGGCGGCTGGTGGGCTTGAAACCGGCCTGGGCCAGCTAAACAACAATAACAACTGTAACAAAAAATAGCCAGGCGTTGGGGTGGGCGCCTGTAGTCCCAGCTACTTGGGAAGCTGAGGCAAGAGAATTGCTTAATTTAAGCCCAAGAGTTTGAGATTGCTGCGAGCTGTGATGCCACAGCACTCTACTGAGGGCAAATAGCAAGACTCTCAAA